TATCTGCTTGCTGAAACTGAGGAGAACCTGAATTGCTTCCTGAAGAAGGTCAAGGACTGCAGCCTTCAATGTGGATTAAAGCTCAACATCAAGAAAACAAAGATTTTCACCACTGGGCCAACTGGCAGCATAATGACAGATGGTGAAGAGATTGAGATTGTTAACAGCTTCAGTTTTCTTGGCTCCCTGATCAACACTCTTGGTAACATTAGCCAGTAAATCAAAAGGTGAATTGCATTAGGAAAATCTTCTGTCAGGGACCGTTCCAGAGTACTAAAAAGCAATGATGTCAGTCTGGAGACTAAGGTGCACCTGATCCAATCCATCTTTGCAATTATGTGCTATGCATCTGAGAGGGAGACAATGACTAGGGATAATAGGAGAATTGATGCCTTTGAGCTGTGGTGCTGAAGAATAATATTGAATATACAAAGGACTGCAAGGAGAACAAACAGGTTCATCCTAGAGAGGGTGAAACCAGGCTGCTCCTTGGAGGCAAGGATTCTTTTTTTTAAAAAATTTTGTGTGTGTGTGTGTGTGTGTGTGTGTGTGTGTGTACCATCAAATCAGATCTGACTGGTACAGGAGGAGACTGCCCCTCCTTCTCTGGCAGAGCATCTGGTGGATTTGAACCACATATCTCTGGGATTGCAGTGCAGCTTCTTGCCACTAGGCCACCAGAGCTACCCTGGAGGCAAGGATTCTTAAGTTTTGTTTGACATACCTTGGGAATGTTGTGAGGAGGGATTAGTCCTTGAAAAGGGACATCATGCTTGGAAGAGTGGAGAACAGTACAAGAGAGCAAGAGAGGAAGATCCTCGATGGGTTGGACGGACTCAAGTGACTGAGGTAATGGGGGTAGAAGTGTCAGAGATAAATCCCCTGGCAACTTTCAGGTGATGTGCACTTGGCATGCTCATCAAAAAGGTTCACTCCAGCTGCTGGATAGCTTTGGAATGGAAGCTTCCTTATTCCGAGCTAAAATATTCTTCTGGAGCTGATACACTATTGTGGCACCACCATGACAACATAAAATAAAACCACTACTAATCTGACAAAACAGTTTCTCTGGTTTTCCAGGGAGCCTCATGTGACCTCCAGTGGTGTAGTCCATAGCTCATTGCGCCAGCCGCTGGAGGGGAGTGGGAGGAAGATGGGCAATTTCCTCCCATTACAATTTGCAGCCTCGAAAAACCGAGGGCTTGCTCAGAGTCAGAACCGACAGAAAGGCAGTAACTGAGTTTTGGGTTTAGGGCAGCCTCACAGACCATTTCCCAACTTTCTTAACTTTCTCCAAAGGCAGTTTCCTCTCGCTGAAGGTGCTTCCACTGGTCTTACTTCCATTGTCAAGACTCAATCCCTCACTATCCCGTAGACATCCAAGTTGGGTGAACGGGATCAAATGAGCACTGACTCGACCCATTTCCCAGGTTTTTATTTCCAAGAATGAGACCTACTTCTACTCTGCCCCCTCTATTCATAGCATCTCCCCAGCTAGATCTAGCTCAGCCTCCCTGACTTGTGCCTAACACAGAGCCTTACAAAGAGTGTTTTTTTCTATAATGCTGGTTGTTGTTGTTCTGTGCTCTTCGGTCGCCTGCGACTCATAGCGACCCTATGTACAACAGTCCTAAACCCTCCTCTCTCCTGTGCCAATCTTATGGTCTCCGACACACCTCTCCCCATTACCCCAGTCACTAAATCAATCTGTCCTGGGGAACTCACAAGTGAATTCAGAATTGAGGTGTCCGAGGCTGCGCCTCGCCCTCAGCGGCGCCACAGCTCCCCGTGGAGCCTCGGCTCCGTCTCACTCCCGCCTTTCCCTTTCCCTTTAGTTCTCCGAGGTCTGGAAGCCTCTCTGGAGCCATGACATTTCCCCACAAACAGTCCCAGCAGGAAAAGTGTATACCTCAGACTTATTAGCAAAAACGGTGACGCCCACGCTCCCATGGCCACGCCTCCTTCACGCACGTTCCCAGGGCGAACCGGAAGAGATTGTCAAGCTCCGCGCTCGTAGGCTCGGAAGTAGATGTACCGCACGGAAGCCGCCTTTGGCCCAGCGGCTTGTCCTGTGGCCGCGGAGAATTTGTTGGAGCTGGCAGCCTAGGAATGGTAAGACTTCGCGATTCGCCTCTGAGGATTTTGTGCGGAGTTAGGGGTGAGAGGAAGTTTCTTTAAGCGTCTGGGGACCGACCCCCCCCCAATACACACAGGGTTAGGGCCCCGCCCCAGTAGCGCCTCGAAAAGCTGCGCATGCGTGGGCCGGAGGGTCGGAGTGTGCGTGCCGCTCACTCGAAATATTACGCATGCGCAGGTGTGGCGTGCGGAAGGTGGAGTGAGAATTGACCTGGGATTTACCTCTTCACCCCCAACAGTGGAGGTTGAGGCTTTAACCATGTTTGCGAGGGCACCGGGCTTCGCTCGGTTAACTCCTCCGAAATTTTAATACTTTTTAACCATCCTCACTCTGAAACCTGACACTGCTACCCTTTCTTACGCTGTGGGCGTGCACTCTACAGAGAGCCGAGTGCGGGGAGTGCTGCAGACCCAGCCTCCGCCAATATGTGGGGTTGGTCCCCTTCGCCCTCTCCCCAGGTACCAAGATTCCTAGTCTCGCCTCCTGTACAGCGACCTGACAGGCGCACCTGGGGCTCAGTAGCAGAAGTTGCGCCTAGTGCCGACCTGGTCTGATGGGGCGGAACTCACAAGTGGAGTCACTCAAGAGAGCCCTGTAACTGAGTTCCTGGGGCGAGGGGAGAACGCAGTGGCCCAGGACTGCTGGTGTTCGCGCACTAACAAAACCACGAGGTTTTTGAAGCTGCTCCAACGTGCCACTTTTAATCTGTAGCCAGTATTGCAATTGAAAAAAATCGAGACGGTTTGGCTGGAAGTACTGGCTCCCGGTCTTTGTCACTACTTTGGCCTGAAAAGGGAAGGGTGATGCTGCTGAGCTGAATGAGCAGCTCCGAAAAAGCGAAAATTAGTCAAGAATCCCTGTTCTTGGTAATTTAAGTCAAGGCCCTTCACCTCGGGGCCATACAGAACATTGGACGGATTTTGAGCTCCTGTAATAGTGTTCGTAGATTTTCTGGAGTTGACAGCTTTTCTCACATTCTCAAAGATAACAAGTGACATTCAAAAGACTGCTAGTTTGTAGGAGTCATATTAGCTTAATGGAGCTTGTGTTTCCTTCCTCTTCTACTTAGTGTCTTCCTTAGTTTATGGGACCCTGTTCCAGTATTAGGCTGGAAATTGAGCCTCAGAAAGCCATATTTCTCCTCTGCAGACTCTCCTCTCAGCTTCAACGTGCACCTGGTCAGGATCCTTGGATGAGCCTGAGGGACCCTTCCTTCTGGCCCTGTGGTTTGGAACCAGTGGATTTGGGACTGTAAGAGCATGGACAAAGGTAATATGAAGCAGAGCCAGTTCCCCAGATGCTGATCACCTGGTGATTCTATTTGGTTCCTGGCACGTGTGTTTTTTGGTTCTGGCTGGACATTGTCACCTGTGCTTGGACCAACATCACCCATGTACTCCTTGGCAAGGGTCACAATTGACTGGCTTGCTATTGACCTCCTGCTCATTGGCATGGCTACATTTTAATGGCAGGGAGAGTAGTTATTTTCAGAGCCTGGGGTGTTGCATCATCATTCTAACCTAAGCGCCATGTGCTACGTACATATGGCATCAGGTGATTTCACCTAAAGGTGAACTGAAGACTGAAGGTCTGGGCCAGCTCTAAGCCTAGATAGAATCTGGAGGCTGAGGAACTCCTACTTTTAAGTGTCATGGAGGCAGGGAATGGGGTAAGGAAAGGAAGGGGTGTGTACTTTTTCCCCTCTTTGATTTAATGTCTTCCTTAGTTTAGTTACAGTGTAGAGGCGCAAGGCCTCCCAAGCACTTAGGAGTTCACCACTTCTTTTTTTTTTTAATTATTATTAAATTTTATTAGTTTTAATGAACATTTACAGGGATTTTGGGTTTTCATTCCTTCATTGCTGCACCATTCTCTCTAC